GATGGGGATTTACTGTAACCCCAAGGATGACCCCGGCAGTTTTTTGCTGCTACATGCAGGTCATCAATAATATCAGTACACAATCCAAGGAGAAGCTGTGATATTCTTTGGTTCAGGCAACAACATGGATATTTCATGATATTTCTGGTAAACTAACATTTTGCTATGGAAAATCACAATTCTTAATGGGAAAACTCACTATAAATGACCATTTTCAATAGCTATGTAACAAATTACCAGAGGGTATTTCTGGTGTATCCCAGTTTGCAATTTCCCCCGGTTTGGTCAGCGGCTTCGGCGCTTGGACCCTGACTTGGACCCCCTGAGGATGAAGTGGAGAAGGAATTGGTGAAGCTTAGGAGGCAACAAAAGGCTGGACGGAACCCCAGGGCCTCCAAGGGCACACCCCAGCTGTTTTACCCGGCCTGGTAAACATACAAAAAGCTATTGAACATGGCCATAGAAATAGTTGATATACCCATTAAAAATGGTGATTTTCCATAGTTATGTTAGTTTACCAGAGGGTAGACATAGCTATATGGAAAATGGGTGAACATGGATGAAAATGGCATGAAAATTGCCAGAATTTATGGATCATGACTCCTACCTATTATATTCATTTATATTAAAGATGATGAGTTGCATGGATTTTCACTGATGGTGCATAGAATGGCTTGGAAGACCAGCCCGTTGATTGTAGCTTTTTGAGTGACTCTTTTTTGGACCTTCACATTTCAATCGACAATATAATATATAATATTTCGTTCGGAAAAAAGGAAGCACGACAATACACGACAATCAGGGTTGCTCCAGCCCAGTATTGGTAAATGATAGCCACTTTTGGGTGGTAAATTGGTTGTTTTACCTTTACCGTCTGGTTATTTCACATAGCCATGGGAAATGGCCCATTTATAGATGGTTTACCTATTAAAAATGGTGATTTTCCATGGCTATGTTAAATAACCAGATAATATATATATATATATATATATACCCAATTTGCCTCCAGGGCTTCCTTGCTTCACAAGTCGACTCCTTGTGTTTTTTCCCAGGTCTTGGACCAAAAAGACCGCAGTTGGGCACAAAAGGCTTTGCAGCCACTGGGCGGAAAGGGGATGCGGTCTTCAAGAGAAGTAGATTACAGCATCAAATGTTGGCTAGCCACCATTTTTCCATCAACTTACCCTCTGGTAAACTAACATAGCTATGGAAAATCACCATGCTATTAATAGGTAAATCAACTATTTCTGTGGGCCATTGTCTATAGCTTTTTGTTAGTTTACCAGAGGGTACCATTTGGAGAGTATATAGTATGCCCCATTTTCAGACACCCCAAACATGTCCCACAAAAGATTCATTTCCACTTCATGGTAGTTCAAGTTCCGAGCCATAAAAAAGATGGAGCTGAATGTTGACTGTCAAACCAGGGGATGGGTCAAGTTTCCTGACATGCACGTTACCGGATGCCAGAGTTTTGACTCATAGCCACACATACCCTCCAGTAAACTAACATTTTGCTATGGAAAATCACCATCTTTAAGATGGAAATCAAGTACAAATCACCCATGTTCCATAGCTATGTTTGTTTACCAGAGGGTACCATGGAATCAAAAAAAGCAATTACTGTACATAACCAATATATATATATATAGTTCATTATATATATATATATACACAATCTTTTGATGTAACCAGCTATAGTTTACTGGTTGGTGGTTTCAAACATGAATTCTATTTTCCATTTCATATATGGGATGTCATCCTTCCCATTGACGAACTCATTTTTTCAAGATGGTTATTGCACCACCAACCAGAAAAACTATGGAAAATCACCATTTTTGATGGTTAAATCAACTATAAATGGTCATTTTCAATAGCTATGTTAGTTTATATCGTGTAGTGGGAACGGTGAGGATTCCTCGCTGTTTCAGATGGACGGTCGGACTCCATCCTGGCTGGTTGGCTATACGGCTGTCAACCCACCTTCTAAGCCTCCCGCTTAGTAATTGGATAGTGACTTGCATTTCTGTATATATATATATTATATACATGTTACTGGGTTCATGTTGTTTCTTGTCTCGGCTCCCCTGAAGTTGTCTCAGGTCGGTGTGCCGTGGGGAAGTTTGTATAAAAGATATATATGATATTACTATTCCATTGGACCATTGCTTATTGTAAGACCACAAAACGCATAGGCACGCTGAATTTCACCAACATGAACCTACCATTTGTAGTCATAAACCTTCTTATTGTGTGTTTGTCCATTGCAGGGCACACGACGCAGGGGTACACTGGTTGTCATAAACATGTTTATTTTATTGCTTGGTTTGATACTTGTGACATCCAAACGCAGTGGCATGCTCGGTCAAAGAGAATATGTGGGCGTGGGTACTTCAATGATTTTGTGCAGCACAGCAGATCTTGTGCCAACATCGGTGTGCCTGCCATTTGGTGCTAGTGGGTTCAAGTTTGGGAGCTGGGTCGATGTTGTAACAAGTGCCGATGACAAGATCTTGTGCCAAATCGTGGTGTGCCTATGGGGAATAGGGAGAGGCCCACATGGGCAGCGCCCATGACTTTAACTTACTGATGCATTTTTTGGCACTTTGCATAGGCACACGATGCTTACCTGGCTATCACGGTTCCTACAATACGTCTCAAACAGTCTATGCCCGCTCAAATTTGTCACCGCCGCCTTGTTTGCCAAGCTTGCGTCCCTTTGTCTCCCATCAGTCTCCCTTACTCGCCCTTTGTCTCCTCTTCTGTCTCCTTGCTCTTGCCTGCAGCTGCTGCTTGGCTTGGTTTCCTCTTCTGCTCCACCATGCTCCACCGCTGAAAGCTCTTGAGCTTTACTGTTCTGAAAAGAATGCACAAGCATGTGGCTACCAAAGAGTTTGTCAGGAGACTTAGGGGGTCAGTCTCCCAAAATGTGATTTCGGACCTCGTTTGGACCTCGTTTGCACCTCGTTCGGACCTCGTTAAAATTGCAGCCAGTCAAAACCCAGCCTGGAGAGGTTTTGGGAAGGCTTTGCCATGGTCTGCTGCTTGGTTTGCTGCTGCTGCTGCTGTTGTTGCTTGTGCTGCTGCTTCTGGGCAAGGCACGGTTTTTGGGCGGAGAACCAAGAGATTTGTGAAGGGCTGGAAGCTGTGCGGAAGAAACCAAAAGCATAAGAAGATTACCTGAAAAAAATCGATCCGATCAGCGGTGTGCCATGGGGAAGTGGATGAAAGGATTGATTGGCATGAAGCAGAATTTATCATAGAAACCACAGGAATGTGACGGTTTGTAGGTTGGAAATGCCATGAAACTTGGTGTGCCATGCGGAGGATGATAGCTGATAGTTCTGACTGTTCAAGCAGGCATATGGCTGCCAACTTTTGGCTATCAAGCGTACATTAAACGCATAGTAAATAGATATATTTGAGTTGCCTGCTTCAGGATTAGTCCGTTTTGACCGTCGGTGTGCCAATAGGATTTCCACCTGGCGGAAGATTATTGATGTCTGGCGTAAGCAAGGTGCCATGCGGCTGGCGCAAGTTCTAGTAAATGGCGTAGGATCACGCCGGGGCTCGGGTCAGAGATGCTTTGCACGACTTATTTGGCACTGGGTGTGCCATTGGGAAGCAGATAATTAAAGTACCGAAATCAAACGAATCCATGTCCAGAGTCATGACAAGAAAACGGGGCGTGTGCTGCAGAATTGGTTTCTTTTCTGATTTGGATGGAAAGCAGCTTTTTTTCTGTCAATGCGTGTGTGCCAATGGCGGTTGCCAACTTTCAACATGGTTTTATCACCGATGGAGATGGTATTAGATATGTGTTTCGCAATGGCACGGACACATTTTAACTACTTTGTTTGCCAAACCAACCATGGCGTGGTACCAGTGTGCCAATAGGATTTGGTCCCTGGGGTAACTTCCGGTTTGCCTGGGGTAACCCTGTGTGCCATGGGGATGGGGTAACTTCTAGGTGCCTGGGGTAAGAAACGACGTCCGCCCAGTATTATATATATATACACATGTTATTATATATATATGGTCATGTTATTATATATATGCACATACACACTATTTATGTATATACATATATATATATATGTAATATACACATACATATATATCTCAATTTTAACTATATCAACTATAGATTTTACACCAACTATATCAACTATCGCATTTTGCATAACTAGGTCCCGCAGCCGAGGAAAGGTCTGGCAGACGAGCGGAGTGCGCAGAGCGCGCAGGTGCTTTCGCAGGTGCTTCCGCTGGTGATGCTATCATGGGTCCAATTGGAACTGGAAAAATCTGAGATACCCTCTGGTAATTTAACATAGCTTTTGAACATGGCCATAGAAATAGTGGATTTACCCATTAAGAATGGTGATTTTCCATAGTTATCTATCGGATTGTTCCCATAGGATCCATGGTGCTGCTATATATGGTAACATGGATCCCATCAATATACCCCCTTTATGTTAGCATATATACCAGCACCATGGATCCTATGGGTTTGGTATTTTTCAAAATGGTAGCTTTTTCAATGGTTAAAATATCTGAGATATCTTTAGGATATTAATGATGGTTATGATAGTTTAAAAATGGTTAACATGCTTAACCAGATTTAATTTTTGATTTGATAGACATCTATTATATTAGGACCATTATCTTTGAGATATCTCATTAATGGTTCACTACGAACTGGACTAGTTATGATTCATTAAAGTTTCAAAATGGTTTAATGTTTAATGGTACCATGTCTGGAGCCATTAATGATGAATGATTACTGGTTGTGATTCATGGTTAAGCTGGTTAACTAATATCAATGGTGAACTATGGTTACAATGTGGGCCCCCCCAGTTATAAGTTGGTTTATAAACCCCCATAACTATAGTTACAAGTACCATAAACCATAGTTATTGGAGTTTTTTGCACCAACTTAGCTATCGAACGGGGGCCCCACATTGTAACTAACATTAAGAACATATGATTAATGATGATTCCATCACCTAACATGAATAGGAACTAAAGATCTTGTTATCCTAGCTTTGGTGTTATCCCATTAGAAAGTAAGCCATTTTAAAACTATCGTTAATCATGACTATCCCAGTGAAATAATAGTTCACCAAAAATCATGAATCATAGTCCCCAAAGATATCTTTTTGGTCATTCTTGGAAGTAAGTGGTATCTTTATGTTCGGGAGCGGTAGGAGTCACTTCGAAGGTACCCTCCGTCATCAAACACGGTGTTTCCCCGAACCAAATGGAGGTTCCACTGGGAAAAACACCTGGAAATGGGTGATGTTCCTTTTCCATGTTTACATGAGGGTATAAGAGTTTCCCAACCACAGCAGAGGACTTAGGATTTCTACTCACCAGAATGCAGGCTATGAGAGATTTGCCATAATGGTTTCCTCTTAGAGTTCAACACTTTCACACTTATGGCTCTTTAAACCAGTTGTAAGTCAATTATAATAGTCATAAGTGGGGTCATCATTATCATTCCACAAATGCGGAGTTACAACTTAGAACTCGCCATTGGTGGAATGATGACCCCACTTATGACTAAATAACTGGTATTTCGGGCAACTACAGAGCTTGGTACTAAACTGGTCCATGGGTAGCTCATCAGGCTTGAACCGCTGCCACGCCCAGCCGGAGGCCCAGCCGGAGGAATGTCGAGACAAGGAGCCGCAACAAATGGCCAGGAAGTCAGGAAGTGCCAATCGGAAATACGCCAGGAAGTGCCAATCGGGGGTTATTTCTAGATAGAATGAGTATGATAAACACCTTGAAATGGGATCTAACATGATATAACATGATATATAACTATAAACATGTGGTTATAGATCCACTTGTAAATGGGACTGCAGCCCCAAGCAGAGATTGCTGCCGGATTTTCTCTAAAAAAACGGTGCAATGTGTTGGATCTGTAACATTGATGCCAAGGTTTGGGTAGCAATTGACCCACCATTGGTCATTGACTCATTTCAAGGTCCTCATAGTTGAAAGTTATACCCCCTCTGGTAAATAAACATAGACCCTGAAAATCACCAATTTTTTTAAATGGAAACTAGTCTTCCAACCCCTATCTGCCAGGGTCTATGTAAATTTACCAGAGGGTAGGTGTTGTTGAAGTCATAGTGGCGCAGCTGAGATAGTGTGGGTCCTTGGTCCTTGGTCCATCACATTCAGGGCTGGAACTCGAAGGACAGTCTTGATGGTTGAGTGCCTACTTCATGGGTCAATGAAAGATCTAGGTCAATCTTAGATGGGCGCTTTAATCCTAACTAGTCTTTTGGTATCAATGGGAATATCTCTAACCAGCAAAGAATCTGTCACCTGTCATTTTTTGCAGGGTATCTAAGATTGGCAATGAGATGTCGAAACTGCCTGAGAATTCTTGTATGGCGCCACTTGGACAGGGGAGACAATGTAGCCAAGCAACACCACTCACAATGTGCTGAAGCCAATGGCTCAATAGTATGGTGACAATATGAGAGGTCATAACTCAGAAAGCCAAACGTTTTTTATCCGCGAGCACCTCATGACGTGGCACCTAACAGGAGATAAAGAAAATTGGTCTTTGCGGACTCAACATGTGTTCAGTTGGCTTCGCAACACCGCCTTTCACCATACTTTTTCTTCTAACAGGGAGTCTACCCGAGTCCATTTCTGAATATTGACCCTCTGATTATGACTAACAGTTCGCCATGGGAAATCACCATGCTATTAATAGGTAAACCATCTATTTCTATGGGCCATCTATACCATGGCTATGTTAAATAACCAGATGGTAAATCCCATTAATTATCAACTTTCCATACTAATATATCATTAAATCCCTAATAATCACCATGAAATCTGAATCTGAGCCGCTCATTGACTTTGTGGAGTCTATCTACATTCCATAGCTGCATGGATCACTTCGGCGAGTCAATCTTTGGGGATCGATGATTAAACACCCACGGTCACTATCACCCCTAAAGAATAGGCTATGACTATTTTAAGGTCAAGCATGAGTCTAACTATGGTGTTTTGTTGATGTTGTTTGGTAACTGTTGGTCAGTTTTAATTGTGAAGAATGGTGACCATTCAAATATATTCAAAGAAACAAAATCCTTAAATAATTTCCATTCACCAAACATTGACCATCAGCGTCTGGTGAATATTGGGATAGCTCCATTGTTGAGATGCCTCCATGGGTCGCCTTCGATCCACATGGCGGGGAACGCAGCGTGCTGGCGCGCTGGCTTCTCCTATGCCAGCTGCTGTGGAAAGCCAGGTGATGAAGGGGCAAAAGATGTGGTTTCTAAGCAATATAAGATATGGATATGGTCATAAGGGTGATTGAACATGATTGAACATGATTGAACATGATTGAACATGATTGAACATGATTGAACATGATTGAACATGATTGAACATGATTGAACCGGAATAGTGGTTTGACCACTCAAGATAGCTATGGGCTATGTTGGTAAATTGCCTGGAACTGCGCAACATGACTTGAGACTTCAAAAGAGCAGCACTTAAATATGTTTTTTTGTAACTGATATTTCGCTTTCGCAAGGAGGATCTGGTGGCTTCAAGAAACCAAGATGCCACCATTCGGCAGAGATGAATTGTTTAGGACATCTCCGGTGATCTTGTAGGATGATCCTGAAGACTTTCCGGGACCAGAGCTTTTAGTCTAGTTTAGTGTTGACCAATATTGACCAATATTGACCAATATTGACCATCTAATGATTGGGGATGTTTGGGGTACCCAATTTTGAGCTATTAGCCATGTGTACATTCAGAGATCTAAAGTATGTAGGTGTTTGTTTTGTCAAGCATTGGACTTCCCAGCCGGCCTCGTTTGACTATCAGAAGGGAATTTTGAACCCAAGCATTTTTTTGGTTCTTAATCCTACCATCTACTGTAATTTTCAATGTTAGAGCCCATGTTTGTTGGTTACCCATCTGGTAATTCTTCACATAGCTATAGCTATGGCTATCGAAAATCACCATCTTGAAGAACGGTAAATCATCCAACTAGATGGGCCATGGCTTCCAGTTCGCTATGCTAAATTGGCGGAGGGTAAACACCATGAATCATAATGGGATGTTTATTGAATGGCGGGGGTAAACATCATAACATGTTATATTGATGTAACCCATTGATTAATATAAAATTCCACAAACATCCCATTCAATTGTCATTGACGAGTTGCACTGCTGAAAAACCAAGAAAAGCAGCGGCGGAAGGTGGCAATCCCGAGTGCTTCGATGCGCTCTACACCTATGAGGCATGGCACATATAACTCACAGTAGTTTTTTCCACATCATATGGATAATCTATGAATAATCTATGGATAATCTATGGATAATCAGAGGATCTTTCGCCACATCAAGTTCATAAGTTCAACGCGTCCGATTCGAAGTTGACGCGGCCAGTCATGGCACAGATTTGTGAAAAACATGGCTATGAATCAATATAAATACCATTTATAGGAGGATGAACATCCATAAATCCCGGCTATTTTGGTGTGAGAAGGAGTACAGGGTTTTGACCCATACATTTCTTTGGCACTTTCGCGCAACTTCGCGAAACAAGTCCGACATCCCAACCGCAGGTGTGCTGCTTGAATAGCGACTCGCAAGCTGTGAGTCTTGGATCCAAAGACATGGTTGGAACATATATGAAAGTCCACTAGAAATGATTGAAACATATAGGAAAATCGACTATAAACTGACTGGTTGGTGGTTTGGAACATTTTTATTTTCGCAATTTTTTGCATATATATTGGGAAGTTCATCATCCCAACTGAAGAATTCCATCATTTTTCAGAGGGGTAGGCGAAAAACCACCAACCAGATTAGCTAATTAACCATCATTAACCATCATTAACCATCATCATAACCATCATCATAACCATTATTAACAGTATATTACCCTTCCTACCATGGTAGGTAGGTAGGGCAACCACCAACCACCAACCAGATTCCTGGATTTTCGGAGTCGATAAGGCGAATCCAAAGATATCCTCATAAGGTCATTTTCGTGAAAAATAGCTATGGAACATGACCGCAATTGAAAAAGATGATAAACCTTTTAAATAGCTGCTGATGAAAATCCTGATTTTCCATAGCTATGTCTTAAATGACCAGAGGGTATCCTGAATTTTGGGTCATTTTTTTGGGGAAAATGATGATAAACATTGATAAAGCATGGGGTCGTTTGCCATGGTTTGCCCCAAGATTTTCGAAGTCAAATTGTTGGCATTTTAGGCTTCACGCGGATAGAAACCCGCGTCGTTTCGTGCATCATTGCATTTTCTTCTTGTTGCTTGGATTTTATGACTCATGTTCCGCAGCCATTTGCATGTTATTTTTTCCTGCGTTTTCCCATATAATTTCAGCTTGCCTCATCATGCAGGCAAATTTCATCTTTCATTTCAACAAATGAAACTTCATGTGCAGAAAAGTGAAAATCGGGCACCGCAAAATTATCAATCTAAATTTAGAGAAGTGACATGCTTTGAAGAAAAGAATTTGTCACATACAAGAGCATCAAAGTTTCAACCTCTTGCATGACGCGCAAATGTCTTGGATGTGGCAAAGCGGGGCATCGCTTGGAAAGCTGCACCTCGAAAGCGGCTTTTGAGATCAGGAGACTGAGAGCAAAAGTGGAGAAAACCAGACACAAGCCTGGTTCCAGGAACAATCCTGGACGGCAAAACCGAAAGAAAGCTTGGTCGAAAGAGAAAGCGAGGAAAGCTTACACCAAGCAAAGTGTTAGAAAGACTTTCCTGAAAAAGCGTCAGCAAGACTGCCGTGCAGGATGGTCAGGGTTTGCAGAAGAACATAGGTGACCCGATGTTGGCGTACCAGAAGTTGAAGGATGCCGGTTTTCTGCATGAGCCAATTCGATGTTTGGCTTGCGGATGGAATTGCTTGGGACCTCCAGTTGAGAATGCAGCTTCTGATGTTCTTAGTGTCTATGTTCAATGTGGCAGGCGCGAATGTCGCACAAAGAACAATGTAGTCTCCTATGGTGTCTTTCGGGGGCTTCGTTTGAACTGCTGTGATCTATTGCGAGCAATAGAAAACTACTGCGACCAAACCTACATGCGTGCACCGCACGTAGCCACCATGGAGCTGTGGCAACTTCGCTGGGAAGAGAGACGTGTTCTCACGTCATTGACACCTTGAGCGCTTTGGAAATGGCAGAAGGAAAGCGATTTAGTGATGCTTTGACTTTTGACAACGGAGACCTGGAAGTGGATGCGACAGCATTGAGGAACTTCTTTGTTGGCAAACGAAATCCCAACTACCAGTTTCAAATTGAAAGATTTGTGACACAGAGCAGGAAAGGCAGTCCGGATGTCATGCGTGCTCATGCCCGCGTTTTGGGCATTTGTCAGAGGGGAGGCTTCACAGCGTTGAAAGTTTTGCCATTTCGTTTTGTGGCGAAAAATGGTGTTCCACCAGTTGAAAACACGGAAGAAGTCATGAACAGTGGTTTGTTGCAGAGAATCACGAAACCTGGCAAGTGCGTTCTGTTTACCGATGGTGCGACTAGCTACAAGGATGCTTTGAAGAAGATCAAAATGCGTATTCAGCATCGAAGGGCAATTCATGCGAAAAAACAATGGTCCGTGAAAACACGCACCAAAGCAGGGCATTCCAAAGTGGCCGGCACCATGTGCATCGATGCTCAGTGGAAATCCATGAAGAAGTTTATACACCCCAGTGTAAAGTCCACGTGTCATTTTGTCTTCAATGAGAACTTGTGGCGACATATGTGGCACTGGCTTCATCGTTTCAATCGGCAGTATTCACGTGTACAGTTATTTTTGGAATTAGGAAGGTTGGCAAAGAAGTCCAAGTGTCCACAAGTGCCGAAGAAAGCACTTCTTCGGTGAAGAGAAGAAGGACAGACTTGAAGCAGGCCGGCTGGGGCTTGGGGCGTGGTTGAGAGATTCGACATGTTCGCAACAAGTTCTGCGGCCAAGACCATAGTGTGTTTCTGGCAGGGGTTTGTGGCTCGAACAACATGTTCACGTGAGCCAACCACAAGTTTTTACTTGGAAGAAGTTCTTTTCATCAATCAAGAGAAACTTTTCAAATAAAAAAACGCTGACACAATGGATGAAAAGTCATCATGTTCCCTTCAACTGTTCTTTTTCTTTGACACTGCAGCCATGGAAGACGTTCTAGTGGCTCTGACTATGCTGCTGCTTCTACGTGTGGCACGTGTTGGGCTACCGCCCTTAGTTGGTGCCTGGCGACAAAAGTCACAGTGGAAGAGATGGATGCGTTGCATGAAGCAGCCTCATTTTCTTTTCGTACCAGGCACATACCTCCCAATTTTCTTGCTTGCAAAGAAAAGCTGCGACAGGAACGGATCGCAAGTTCCATGACTGCGTGCATCCGTCAGTGTCTTCTGGCTGACCCTACGTATTCATGGGAAGTTCTTCGACAGAGCTTTGGTCCCTTGCAAGATGCCTGGCTGCGATTCCGCCGGCAGCATCCTACGTGCCCGGTGCATGTTGCTGCGACCTTGCACGTGCTTCAAAGACGGTTAGGCATAGTCAGAGATCCCAGCGAGGTGGAAAAGTCAGCACAATGTTGGGCACTCTTAGATCAGCTGAGTGGTCCAGAAGATGTTGCCATGTCTCCGCCTTCTGTTGCTGAGACATCCCAGGTGCAAAGTTCAGAAGCCAGTACAAGAACGGCATGCGTGACAAAACCAGAAAAACGTTCATGGTCGAAGCACGCCTTCTCTTGTCCAGGCTATCGAGTGACGTGGAAATCGATGTAGAAGTTCCGGTTCATGTATCACCAGGTGAAGTGCAACTGCTACCGACCTATTTTCGGCTCTTGCAGTTGCATCAAGAAGATGGAGATTCAGGAGGCTTAGCACCAGATGTTCCAGAATGGGCAATGACTTGGATTGATCCAAACTTCTGGACCTTGGATGGCTTGATGGCGTTTGTGTCGTCAGTTTCTGCAGCAGATCGCGAACTCGTGGATACTGTCTGTGGAGTGAACTCCCCAGGCGACACGACAGCAGCAGCTTCTGCGGTGAACCATGCACCAGCAGCAGCGAGACCCAAAGTTCTGCGTCCAACACGTTGGGGACGGTGTCTACGTTGTAAATTAAGTTTGGGACCGCATGTCTTCAAAAGTGGACAGAGGTCAGGGGAAGCATACTACGTATGTGCGGGTTTTTTCCAGAAGGGTTCTCATGGCCAGGACAGGCGCTGTTGGTGGTCAACACCTGTGCCAGAGAACAAGGTTTCGGAACTTCCCAGATTCATTCGGAACCAAGTCCATAGTTTGCCTGCTTGTTTGCAACGCAACAGTCGCGTGCGATGACATGCCGTCGGGGAAAAGACAGTACTCTTGCACATGACACTTTTTCATTCTCGTCACGTTCGTGCAGCAGTGCTCTTAATGTCAGCATTCACAATGCACCATGTCAACTGTTTGTGCCGATATACCTGGAAAATAACTATAAATATATAAATAAATACACATATATATATATGTTGTTTCCAGATATGTACCAATAGGAACAGATAGATACAGACATAGTTAAGGAAATAGACATATATAAAACTATATATATATATACACACATAATCAAATGCAAAATGATCCTGCCCGGCACAGGTGCAAGAAGCGAAAAAAGAAGACGAGCCAGTCAGCAATGAGGGCAGGATGTTTCCAAGAAATATTTTCCCCCCAGGGATATACCCTCCAAGAATGAATGAGAAACCCGCATATCCGAAGCCTAAATAATGATACGTAGCATATGTAAAAGCAGCCTAGCGTAGCATGACGTCAGTGTGAAAGTGAACATGAACGTTATTGCCCCACCCCACCCCACCCCACCCCACCATAGCGTAGCATCACGTATGTGTGTGCAAGCGCAAGAGAAGAGCAGCCTAGCGTAGCATGACGTCAGTGTGCAAGTGAACATGAACGTTATTGCCCCACCCCACCCCACCCCACCCATATGCATTTTGTATTGCGGGTTTCTACACGCGTGAATGGTTTTACTAAGTCAATGGGAATTTCAGGATCCTAAAATGGAGGTTTCCTCTACCAATTTAGGTTCCTTTTTTATGGCCATTTTACCAAGGAATGCTTTGCCCCACGACTGCCACCTCAACGATGATTTGCAAAGCTTGCCTTTGAAGACGCGCTGTCTTGGCACTCCTGGAGGGCTCAGCAAGGAACCGGACCGGTGACCAGCTAGGGAACCATGAATGGCAGGTGGATTACCCGGGCTGGTAAACATACTAAAAACTATGGAAAATCAGTTTTTTTAGTAGGAACATCCACTATTTCTATGGTCATTTTCAATCGCTATGTTAAATTACCAGAGGCTAATTATAAGGATGGATGGATTAATTATATGGATGGATTGATTAATCCAGTGGCAGGTGGATGTATTTGTTTATGTGTGGTGTATCTATGGATGGATGGTTGGTTGGATAGAGAGACAAACACCAAACATAGACAGCACAAATAGATACCAAAGATACCAGAGATGGATACCACAGGTAGCCAGGATGGATACAGATTCCGATGAGACCGTGGAAACCATGTCCGCCGGCCATAGAATTACAGAAAGCGTTTGGGATTTCTCCATGTTTTTTTGGTGCGCTTGGACATGGTGGATTGTCCATATCTATTTTTTTGAGTTTCTGGAAGGTTAAAGATCCAATCTTATGTCATTTCATCCCATTTGTTCAGTGGACATTCATGGCGGTTTTATGTGGTTTGTCTATACTGGTTGGTGGTTTGGAACCATGGAATTTTACTGTATGTTTCCATTCAGTTGGGAAGACTAATAATCCCAACTGACTTTCACTCCATCATTTTTCAGAGGGGTAGGCGAAAAACCACCAACCAGTCATATCCATAGATTATCCATAGATTATGGGACTTATTATGGATAATCTATGGATAATCTATGGATAATCTATGGAATCTATATATAATCTATGGACAATCTATGGATAATCTATGGATAATCTATGGATAATCTATGGATAATCGATGGAATCTATGGATAATCTATGGATAATCTATGGATAATCTATGGATACTCTATGGATAATCTATGGATAATCTATGGATACTCTATAGATAATCTATGGATAATCTATGGATACTCTATGGATAATATGGATAATATGGATAATCTATGGATAATCTATGGAATCTATGGATATTTGGATGGTAAAACAAAAATCTCGAGGGGAAGGCCTGTTGCAGCACGGAGGGAACCTTGAAGTCAAGATTTCCCAGCTGCCTTTGGATGGTCGAATGCCATTGAGAATGGGATGTATATCCAAAATTATCCAAATAAGTACTAGGTATCCATAGTATATATATATTATATGAATGATTATCATTGATTATCTATGCAGTTTCCAAAATCTCATCATATCTCATCATTTCATAATTTTCAAAGATTGAGGGTTGGCCATTCAATCTTTGAAAATTATGAAATGAAGGTTGGTGAATTCTAAGATTGAATTTTCATAATTTTAAAAGATTGAGGATAATCTATTATGGATAATCTATGGATAATCTATGGAAAATGGTCCATTTATAGATGGTTTACCTATTAAACATGTTGAGTTCAGTATTTGCCCTGGAATTCTCACCCTGGAAACTCATGCGGCCAGGCCGACTGGGACGTGTTCTTCTTGGCACACCAGTGCCTTTGGCGAAGATAGGGAGCCCTCGATCGCAAACTTCGCTTTATTCCTGAATTCTATGGTGTATGAACTATATAATTATATATACATAATGCAGGTGAAACAATAATAAACCACCCATGACTGGGAATGGTTTCTACCACCTATAAAAATGGTGATTTGGGGGATGGTTTATGATTGTTTTACCCACATTATATATGATTCGACTTTTTCATATTTTTGTTGATCTACAACTCCAATCACTAGGGTCGAGGGCAATTATAAAATATTATATCATATTATATAACTATGTTTTTTTGTTTAAACTTAAACCAAGGAACCAAGCTGGGGGCAGCACTTTGTAGGTCACATCTCACTGGCTTCAGATGGATTGTATGCTCATAATTCTTGAGGGACGGTCATCAATGCATTCATTCGGTTTTATGTATTTTTATGTACCCTCTGGTAAACTAAGAGTTTGCGAACTGGAAAATCACCATGTTCAATAGCTAAATCATCTATTTCTATGGTCCAATTTTTCCATAGCAAACTGTAACAAATTATCAGAGGGCACCCATTATGGATGACCGACCACCAATCCCGACTTGACGGTAGCCTTGACGGTTATGTCATATGCAGCCCTGGTGAAGGTGCAAAGGTGCAAGGCAAGAAACACGTTTTTTTGTTGGTGTTTTTTCTTACTAAAACAAAGATAACCCCGCCTTCTTGTGTAGTTCATCACATAGAAATTGTTATGACATGGTCAAAGTTGTCTCGCTCCGGTTTAAACAATAGAATAAGAATACTAGACGTTCCTGTTATTTCTTGTTCAAATTTTGGATCTGAATATCATCCATAGCCATTCCAGTCTAAGATACCCAATTACTTGACCCATAGACTGTTGAAAGCCGGGATAGGCTGACTTACAGATCGTTTCACACAAATTTGAAATCTATTCAGAATCATGATATTAATATATGTTTACCCAAATCCTTGGGGTTTCAAGCTGAATACAGCCTTATCATATATTAGAAATCACTCAGCAAAATATTTGATCCCTATATACATGAGTCATTTTTGGCCTTGTTTTGCTGGCTCCCTTGAAACCCTCCGGTGGAACAGAGCCTGAAGTGTGCGTTACGCGGGTGCGTCTTTACTGTGCCGCATGTCCCCTTTGAATGGCCATTTCAGTCAAAATTGGGCACCTGAAAATGGGATACGTTTCGGTCGTTAAATCTGGTTTGCTGCAAAATCCACCATTTAGTTCGATATTTTGTCCAATGAACACCTTCATTTATAGTGGATTTTCCGGGCCTTCATGTCCTTCGGGCCTAAGATTTTGACAACAGCGGCCCACTAGGCTATCACAGACGCTTGGGTCTTCGTACAAGGGCGGCTGGTCTGGAAGGATTTTAGAGATTTTTTGGAGGTGTGTTGGCATCATCATTATTACCCTCCGGTAAACGTTTACATAACCATGGAAAATCACCATGCTATTAACGGGTAAATCCACTATTTCGACTGGGCCATTTTCAATAGCTATGTGAATGTTTACCAGAGGGTATACCATCATATATCCTAATAAATCCCATTAAATCCCATTAAATCACCATTTTGGTAAATCCACCATTTATAAATGGATGATTTTCCCGATAAAACCTCCATTGAGTTCGGCGATTTCCAAGCTAGAAACATCTTTGATGACCGGAGGGTAAGTCTTCTTGTTATAATGTTTAAAGATGTTTAAGGTATTTTAAAGTTACCCTCCAGTAAATTAACATACACCCTGGCAGTTGTCGGGGTTGGAAGACTAGTTTCCACTATAAATGGGTGATTTTCAGGGTCTATGTCAATTTACCAGAGGGTATGATTTCATTTACTATTGTGTAAAGGCGTGTCACATCGTGTCACCATTATTTCCTGTTACTACCATCCCTTGGTGACGTGGCTTTGTTTAGTCGGTGATTTAGGCTGCCCGAGGCCGAACGATCCCACTGCAAGCTCCATTGCTGGGTTTTACCCCCCACTCTAGTTGTTTGGTTACATGTATAATTTCGTATATATCTACATACAAATACATATATATATATACATACATACATACATACGTGTATATATAATATATATATAATTATATACAATGTGAGGCCCCCAAGATAGCTAAGTTGGTTTATAACTCCAATAACTATGGTTTATGCTACTTATAACTATAGTTACTGGGGCTTATAAACCAACTTATAACTGGGGGGCCTCACATTGTATATATATATATATATACATACACGTCGATATACATATCCCCAGGTTTTTAAAGCATCCCCACGTTTGTTGGTTATAATGGTCTCCAAACTCTTCTGTCTTTCGCAATTTCCCACCCCATTTGGTCATCTCTGGGTTGCAACCAGGACTACAGTTGCCGACTGAAGTCTGAAAATTGAACACATGAACAATGAAGAACAGTATGTTTATACATATATATATATATAGTAAAATAAAGTAATATATACACAAATTGTCATACATATATTCGTAATATATATATATATAATAATTGTTATTCTTGTTACTACTATATTTACATATTGTATATATATATAATTACTAATATATATATATATTATATTCTATGTAATATATATATAGTACTATTATATCAAATTATATATATATACATAGTTAACGTTACTTATGTATATACACAGAGCATCACGGACGTTTGGTCCCAGGGCCTGGCCCAGGATGGCCAGACCTGCCTTTGCTGCTTTCGAAAGCCAACGCCAGCGGCAGCGTCTTGGAGGTGTGCCGACTGTGCCGATGCCGAGAAAATGGGGAGTTCATGGCATTTTATAGTGATGGATTTAATAGGATTTAATAGGATTTAATAGGATTTAATGGGAGTTTATGGTGATTTCATGGTGATTTAATGGGATTTTATGGTGGGTAATGGTGATTCAATGGGATTTTATGGTGATTCTATGGGAATTGATGGAATGCTATAAAGTTATTAATGGTGATTTAATTAATGGGAATTCATGGTGGTTTTATGGGAAATTAAATGTAAAGAGTGCGGATATCAGTAGGAACTACCCTGCGGTAATCAAACTTAGCAAGCTGCAAAATCCACCATTTAGTTCGAGGATGTTCCATTCAAACCTCTATTTACGGGGGAGTTTCTAATAGCCAGCCACGTTTGATGACCAGTATTTGCCACCACCCCCATCCAACTATGGCAATGAAAATCTGGAGATCATGATGATCATGATCAACCAGTGGATGGAAATGTACCCTCCGGTAAACATACAAAAAGCATCAAAAAACCATGGCCCATTGAAATAGAGGAGTTACCTATGGAAATGGTGGATCTTTCCATAGCTATGTTAAATTACCAGAGGGTATACCATCATTCATATATCCTAATAAATCCCATTAGATCCCACTAAATCACCATTTTTAATAGGTAAATCCACTATTTCCCATGTTTGGGCAAGCCATGCGTGTTCTTATCATGGTACGGACGTGAAGTTCATGATGACTATGGATCAAGAGCCTAGTAGCGTCGGCCAAAAACCATGGGAAGTCGATGTTCATACCGCCAACAGTCGGATGTACAAATTATATTACCCATAGGATCCATGTATGGTATATATATATGCTAACATTGGGGGTATATTGATGGTAAATGTTACCATATATAGCATACATGGATCCTATGGGTTATAATATATTATAATCTCGCAATCAGATTGTGACATTTCCTAACAAACGTACAAATGCCAATTTACATGGGACCATATCCAAGATATAGAGTGATATCGCCATGTAACAATGATGATAGGATGGTAGGTACAGAAAAGCCACACACATATCCCCCTCCATTTGCACACGGAGAATCGATCAGAGTCACAAATGATATTCCTTGGCGATCCTGGTTTACATGATATTATCTAGTTGGTGGTTTGGAACATTTTCTTATTTTTCCATATATTGGGAATAATCATCCCAACTGACTTTCATATTTTTCAGAGGGGTAGGTATACCACCAACCAGTGATGATGCATTATGGACCATGGATAATTTTTGTTGATATTTCTTCGAGTATAATCAAAATTCTGATCCAAGAATCTCTTGATTAGAATCTGATGAAGGGAAAGCCTACAGGAACAATATAGGTATAAGTATTTAAGGCAGGGTAAGCACAATTGTTTTTTCCTGCAACATGTTTCCTGCAACCGATTCCCCTCCGGCAATCAGATATGTCAATGGACAATTCTCATTTGGACATGTGGTTTCCATTGCCAGCCTAGGCAGGCAGAAACATGGTTTGCAAGATATGTCACATTATGATACAATAGCATACAATATGTCACCTTGTGACATAATGTGGGAATCAGATGGCGTAAGATAGAATAAGAACAAGAAGTAGTAATTAAAATGTAAGTTTGACTGTGTGGACATGGAGATCTCCTGCGAAACACCATCATTTTCAACACCTAAAGCAGCCTAGCTTACATTTTCAAAAAACGCCGCCCTTCACCAGGCAATTCCAGGCAAACTGCACAATGATACGCACACATGCAATCACATGCACAAAAAATGAACATAGAATATCATCCTAGCCACCCAATAGATTGAATTAGTTTATTTTCTGACTATTATCTTCGTTTGGTGGTTTTCATCTATTTCTTAGAAATAGGTTATGATGAGTTGCCGAAATATCTTCGACGATTCTGTCTATTATCTTGTTTTTTTCGGTCTATTTTCGACATCCGTGAAAACCAAAAATCTATTTATTTTTTAAACTATTTTTTAAACTATATATTATTTTTTGAAACTATATATCTTATTTCGATGCCCGGGCATCGCCCAAACACCGTCGTAGTTAGGACCTAGTTTCTATCAAACTACGACCCTTTATTTTCATTTTTTTTGTCAAAGTACGACCCTGAATTTTCGAGAAAATTTGAAACTACGACCAAAGTACGACCCTATTTTTGGAAGGATATACAATGTGAAAACATATCATGTCAAAGTGTTTGTGATATAGCGCACTTGTCCTCAAACTTGTATGTGTGCCATCTTGTTGCGATGTGATCCCTTGTGGTTTGATGAGTTTTTTTAATCCATGATGACCTTGAGACATTTTGAGGGACCCTGAGAGACCTTGAGGGACCTTGAGAGACCCTGAGGGACCTGAGAGACCCTGAGGAAACTTGAGGAACTGTTTGAAAGAACTTGAGAAACCTTGAGGGAACTTGAGAAACTGTTTTTGAAAGAACTTGAGAAACCTTGAGGGAACTTGAGAGACTCTGGGGGAATTGAAGAGACTACATGAGGGACCTTGAGGGCACTTCCTGAAACCAATGAGTAATGGTTTTATTAAAAAAATAGGTCTATTTTTGGAAGGTTGCAGTTTGCTGGAAGCAAATCTCTAAAACATTCGGAGTCATGAGAATGGTTTTGCCCATCTTCAAGGTGGAGAGAAGTTCCACTTCCATATGTATAGTCAAATAATTCTCGCAAATATCCATGTATTTCATTCCGTGGATTGCTGTCTCACTCAAGGTTTTGCAGGTCACAGTGGATTGTTCTCTCCTGCTCAAGGATTGCAATTTCAGTGGACTCTCTCACTCAGGGTTGTGTGTTTGAGTGTGCCCCCTCTCTCACTCAGGGTTTTCGGTTGGCATGTCCTGTATATACGTTTCACGTTTCACTTGTATCCATACAAAAACCATGAGGGGAAACTTTGAGAGACCTGGAGAGTTTTGGGATTTGGGGTTGGGTCTAAAATATGTGAGTAGAAATTTCAACCAATTTGAGAAGAGCCACAGGTTTTGGAACATGCATGCAGAGCTGAGACAACTGAACTTTATCAAAATGTATCACTGAAAATGACTTCAATAGTTAGACTCTGTGGTTTATCAACCAGTATTTTGGGCTCTGAACAATAGCTGTCAAATTTTGATAGGTGCTCGCAAACATGCTGCAACCGCGCCAACGTCTCACTGCAGATCCAACAGTGAGTGTTGCTGATCTCTGCGGGCCTCTTGAGACCTACATGGATCAAGAGCGTGAGAACAATGTTTTCAAGGTTTTGGAGCCGCCCCCCCAAGCCAGTTGGAAGAGTGGTTGTCCTACTGGGTGGTTAAGTGGTTTGGCTGACCTCTTCAAAGCCTACGTGATTGTGGCGCCCAAGACCATCGTGAGTGCCAAAAAGCACAAACAAGCTATGCTCAGGCTTTTGGAGACCAAGAGGTGGGGACATTCGAAGAAGAACAATGATGATGCAGCTGACATGATGGATGATTGGGTGCGCATGGGGTTGGCACACTTACGTATTTTGAAACAACATGCAGACAAAAGAGAACAAGCATTCCGAAAATGCGACAAAGCACAGCGCCAAGCCTTAGACAGCATCCTTGCTTTGATCAATGTCGATGTGGGTAGCCAACTCGCCCTTTGCCCTGTGGATGGCGACAGCCAACAATCTGCAGAAGCATCACCCTCCCCTTCGCCCCCACACACGACGAGCAATCAGAGCAGCCAGCCCGTGAACCCAAAATCAGTGTCTATGGATTTCAATGCAATCTTTGATGGAGTCTTGCAAGAAAGTGAGGAAGATGAACAGAAAGAAATCAAGATTACATACCTCAAGCAGCCTTCCTCAACTGGCGCCTCCAGCTCAAAAGCAACCCAAGATGCTGAGAGCCCATCCCCCCAGAAAAAAACCATCTTCAGCCTCCACATGACTGAAGAAGAGAAAGACTTGATGAAAAGCGCAGCAGAGGCAGAACCCATTGCAAGAGACGGCAAATCCCAAAACCAAAGGATCAATGCCATTGCGCCCAAACCAAAGAAGAATGCGAAAGGAAAGAAGAAGAATGTGCAGAAGAAAACAGAAAGCAAAGAGACGAAGACCAAAGGAGATGCAGAAGAGCAATCCACCCGAGCCCCCATGAAACGACCCGGTGCAGCCCCGGAGACGCTGGGCTTGACACAAAATGAAGATGAGGACAAACTCAAGGAACGTATCCCTGAAGGAATTGTTGTAGCAGCATTGAATCTCACCAAAGACCTTGATCCAGCCGAAGTTTCCCGAGAGGTTCGACGACAGCGAACAACCAGCAATGCATACCACCGCAGTGAAGTACTGTTGATGAGGCAGGGCATGTGCAAAGAGGATGCGCAGGCAGTGGGAAGGGTTGCTGGTAGATTGGCAGGGGCTGAATTTGACAAACTATGTCCCAGTGCAAAGGCCAAAGCAGCTGCAAAGAGCAAATCAAGTCCCAAAGCAAGTGCTAAGAGCAAACCAAAGGCCAAAGCCAGCACCCTGAAGAAGAAGATCCCCAAAGAAAAAAGACGAAGAACATGAAGAAGAGCAAAGAGGAACAGATGGGCACCCAAGAGATCGAGAAGACCGAGGTCCTTGAAGAGACTGCGATGAACTCGGAGAACACGCAGAAGAACCCTGAGGATGTTGACTGAGAGTGCAAGCCTAAGCTAGAAAATGAGAACTCGGTCGTACAGATTTTGCCTGCAGGTTGAGCTAGAATGATTTGATTTCTTCAAGTTGTGTTTCAAAATCAAACTTCATGTGAGTGTCTGTGTGTGTGCAGCACTTTCTCTTGGTGAAATGTTCAGCCTGGAAAGAATGTTGGAACCGCTCAGTGCTACCGTGTCACCTAGCTTGCCACTGAAAAAAGAACGTTTTGCCTGCCGAGCCGAAAAACTTGAAACGATACAAGTGTGAACATGTTTCAAAGAGCTTTACACGATGAGGTTTGAGTTGAATTATATAAAG